AAGGTTTTTTTTTAAGGAAGAATAAAAAATAAAAACAGCACAATTAATTTTTGTAAAAATAACAATTTGTTAGGAACGAAAAGAAAAGGGGAGTTTTAACCTTTATTGAACCTCTTGTTTGGCAAGAAATTAGTGTTATTTTATTTTATATGATCATCGCCAGATGTTTGAGAAGAGCACTGAAAGTACTAGAAATCAAGCTGTTAAATTAGCAGCTTTTTCAATTCAACAACGTGCTTCGCTCACTGTGCTGTGCGGAGCTGCGGCACCCAGAAAAGAATTGGAGCTTCTTGTACTGAATTTCATTAGAAAATAATGGAAGTCAAAGCTAGAGCTCCTGGGAAAATTATTCTCGCCGGTGAACATGCCGTCGTCCATGGATCCACCGCCGTCGCAGCTTCCGTCGATCTGTACACTACAGCTTCAGTTCGATTGCCAAGTTCTTCAGGTATTCTCTCATTTGGGTTTGACTTTTATTTTGGTTTTTGGTACTGAAATCTCTGATTTGGTGGGTAAATTTGCGGATTGTTAGATTCTTTTGTGTGGGTTATTTAATTGATTGATACCCATATGAACATTGATGATAATTCTATGGTTTTTCGATCAATCCCATTTCGTTTTATGGGTTTTAATGCTTGATTTTGTGTAAATCTGGGTTGGAATCTGATTGTGTTCCTATTTCTAGTTTTCTGGGTGTTTTTCTTGTTCATGTTGTATTCATATTCACATTTCTGTGTTCTTGATTTGGATGTATGAAAATTGATTGAAACTCTTCTTAGTGTTCAAGAAAAGGAAGAGAGACGAGAACTTAGATGCAGATTTAAATACTGTTGAAGATGTCTAGCAGCTCTACCATTGTGATCTCTACTTCTTTGATCATTGCATATCAAGATTGTTTTTCTTATGATTGGAAAATCTTTGGGTGTGAGACCTCACATCGGTTGGTTGGAAAGCCCAAAGATGACTAGCGGTGGTCTTGGGCTGTTACAAACGGTATATGAGCCAGACGGTGTGCTAGCAAGAATGTTGGGCCCCCAAGGGGGTGGATTGTGAGATCCCACATCGGTTGGAGAGGGGAATGAAGCATTTTGTATAAGGGTGTGGAAACCTCTCCCTAGTAGACTCGTTTTAAAACCTAGAGGTGAAAGATCAAAGAGGACGATATCCGCTAACGGTGGGCTTGGGCTGTTACAAATGGTATCAGAGCTAGACATTGGGCAGTGTGCCAGCAAGGACGGTCGGCCTCCAAGGGGGGTGGTTTGTGAGATCTCACATCGATTGGAGAGAGAAATGAAACATTTCTTATAAGGGTGTGAAACCTCTTCTTAGCATACGCGTTTTAGAACATTGAGAGGAAGTTCAGAAGGGAAAGCCCAAAGATGACAGTATCCTCTAGCGGTGGTCTTGGGTTGTTACAAATGGTATCAAAGCTAAGCAATGTGTTAGCGAGGACGCTGGGCCCTCAAGGGGGTGGATTGTGAGATCCCACGTCGGTTGAAGAGGGGAATGAAGCATTCTTTATAAGGATGTGGAAACCTCTCCCTAGCATACGCGTTTTAAAACCTAGAGGTGAAAGCTCAAAGAGGACAATATCCCCTAGCGGTGTGCTTGGGCTGTTACAAATGGTATTAGAGCCAGACACTGGGTGGTGTGCCAGCGAGGACGTTGGGCCTCCAAGGGGGGTGGATTGTGAGATCCCACATCGGTTGGAGAGGGGAACGAAGCATTCCTTATAACGGTGTGGAAACCTCTCCCTAGCATAAGCGTTTTAAAATCTTAAGGGAAAGCCCAAAAAGAACAATATCTGCTAACGGTGGGCTCGGGCTCGGGCTCGGGCTGTTACATTCAGCATCTCATTAACTCGAAGGGTTTGTGCTCACTTTTCCTCTTCCATTTACATGCTTTGTTATATCAGATAAGGATGATACTGTGAAACTCCAAATGAAGGATCTGGCTCTTGAGTTTTTATGGCCAACTAGTAGAATCAAGGAAGCTTTGGGTGGATTTGTTGGTTCAATCTCAACTCCCACACCATGCCCTGCAGACTGCTTGAAATTGATGGCATCTCTGGTTGAGGATCAAAACATTCCCGAGGCGAAAATCGAGCTCGCCTCTGGAGTGTCTGCGTTTCTTTGGCTCTATTCTTCCATCCTAGGGTATGCATTTCATTACTGAAAGGCTTTATATATGTTAGCCTGTGCACACTTCATTTCACTTTCTATGCTTTCAGATTTGTGCCTGTTGATGTGACCATTACTTCTGAGCTTCCTCTTGGATCTGGCTTGGGATCATCGGCCGCGTTTTGCGTTGCACTTTCAGCTGCTCTGCTTGCTTTATCAGGTTCTGTAGATGTCGATCGGGAACGTCGAGAATGGATGGCATATAAAGAAGATGATCTTGTGTTGTTGAACAAATGGGCTTTTGAGGGTGAAAAGATAATCCATGGAAAACCCTCTGGGATTGACAATACAGTGAGCACATATGGTATGCAAAATCCATTTTCTTTAACATAATCTCTCCGCATTTTGTTCAATTGATTGTTTTATATTGGTCCCTACGTGAACTTCATAGGATTTTATTAGTCTTTGAAGTAAAGTGAACTCTTACACTTGGTATGCAAGAGAAATAGTGACAATTTGTGAGATCCCGCATTGGTTGGAGAGGAGAACGAAACATTCCTTTAAGGGTGTGGTAACCTCTCTCCAGTAGACGCGTTTTAAAACCGTGAGGTTGACGATGACACGTAACGAGCCAAAGCGGATAATATCTGTTAGAGGTGGGCTTAGGCCATTACGAATGGTATCAAAGCCAGATATCGAGCGGTGTGCTAGCGAAGATGTTGGGTCTCCCTCAAGGGGTGTGGATTGTGAGATCCTACATCGGTTTTAGAGGGGAACAAAGCATGCCTTGTAAGGGTGTGGAAATCTATCCCTAGTAGACATGTTTTAAAACTATGAGGCTGACGGCGATACGTAACGGGCCAAAACGGACAATATCTGCTAGCAGTGGACTTAGGCCATTACAAAAGGTATCAAAGCCAGATACCAGGCGGTGTACCAACGAAAACGTTGGGCTCCCCTCAAGGGGGGTGGATTGTGAGATCCCATATCGGTTGGAGAGAGAAAAGAAACATTCTTTATAAGGGTGTGGAAATCTCTCCCCAGTAGATGCGTTTTAAAACCATGAGGCTGACGACGATACGTAACGAGCCAAAGCGGACAATATCTGCTAGCGGTTGGCTTGGGCTATTACAAATAGTATCAGAGGCAAACACTGGACGGTGTGTTAGTAAAGATGCTAGGCTCCCCTCAAGGGGGGGTGGACTATGAGATCCCACATTGGTTGGAGAGGGGAACGAAACATTCCTTATAAGGGTGTGGAAACCTCTCCCGAGTAGATGCATTTTAAAACCATGAGGCTGACGACGATACATAACGAGCCAAAGTGGACAGTATCTGCTAGCGGTTGGCTTGGGCTATTACAAATGGTATCAGAGCTAGACACCGGACGGTGTGCTAGTAAAGATGCTAGACTCCCCTCAAGGGGGGTGGATTATGAGATCCCACATCGGTTGCAGAGGGGAACGAAACATTCCTTATAAGGGTGTGGAAACCTCTTCCCAGTAATGCATTTTAAAATCAGGAGGCTGACGGTGATACATAACGGGCCAATGGGCCAACTGTGCAACAGGTTTTATTTTTTATTTTTCGAGTAAAATCATATCATACTATCACTTGTTTGTTCATTCAAAGTTGAAATAAACAACGTCAGAAACTCTTATGTATCAGGCAGCATGATCAAGTTCAGGTCAGGCAGTTTGACCCTCATTAAATCCAATATGCCACTGAAAATGCTCATTACAAACACAAAAGTTGGAAGAAACACAAAGGCTTTAGTTGCTGGTGTTGCAGAAAGAACCATCAGACATCCTGATGCCATGAACTTTGTGTTTAACGCTGTCGATTGTGTAAGCAAGGAAGTATCGATCCTTATTCAGTCACCGGTCGATGACGATGTTTCCCTAACTGCAAACGAAGAAAAGTTAGCTGAGTTGATGGAAATGAATCAAGGTTTGCTTCAGTCGATGGGCGTAAGCCATGCAACTATCGAAACCGTCCTCCGAACGACATTGAAATACGAGCTAGTCTCCAAATTGACAGGAGCTGGAGGTGGAGGCTGTGTTCTTACACTGTTGCCTAACCGTATCCTTTTTCGGCGTAAACGAAATCATAGGGATTAAATTGAAACGAAAACAAACTAGGTAGACGAAAACGATATCTTAACCGACAATCCATATGTTGCATTGTTGTTATTGTCATTACAAGTTTATGTGTTTTCTTAACATTGTGAAACAGTACTTTCAGGGAAAGTTGTTGATAAAGTAATTGCAGAGCTCGAGTTGTGTGGATTCGAATGCTTCATTGCTGGGATCGGTGGAAGAGGGGCGGAGATCTTGTTTGGTGATTCACCTTGAATTCTCGAGTTGTTCTTTGAATGAAATAAACTCTTTTCTTTTCGTTTCTTTCATTCCTTTTATTAAGACTCATTAGCTGATTACTCCATGCATGTTACTTGAAGATTTTTCAAATAATAGTTGCCTTTTTAGAGGACTATCTTTGGTCTATAGGTCGGTCGGTCGAGATTTTTAATTGACTTGTCTTGAATAATTGAGAGGAACACTATCTCCATTGATACAAGGTCTTTTAGAGTAACCAAAACCATAGCCGTGAGAGCTTATGCTCAAAGTAAACAATATCATACCATTATGGGAGATTCGTGATTCCTAACAAAGCTCATTTCGATTTCAACTAAAAATATGTTAGGTTTCTCTCTCAACGTGACAACTGCTATAAGATTTAGATTCTAATTGACAAGTTCTAGCTTTAACTCGAACAAATGAATTCTATCGTTTCAAAATCGAACTCTTTGAATTCATAAACACAAGTACATTAGCATAATTCAACAAGTATTCCTTGTATTACAAAAAGATCTTTAAATTGCTTTCATTTGGACCATTTGCTTGATCAAATAACCAGGAACATATGCTTCAAAAGGCAAGTTCATCTCCTTTTTTTTTTTCCTTTTTTTGGTGTGCTTGCCAAGATATGCCTTGACCTCAGCTTTACTAAAGCTATCCTTGTCCCTTCCCATTGTGGACGTTTTTGTTCCAGATCAAAGAATAAGATTTTCGATCGACATGGCAGACATTTCACAAAAGACGATGTTGAACTATCGACAAGATCGTTCTCCCGAAGATGAATCCATCTACAACGTGTCAAAATGAAGTAGATTGAGCATATAATATGTGATTTGACACAAAGAACAATATCAGTTCATCCATTTTCTTGATAAATCAATTGACAAAATCAAACTAAATGAACAAGTTAATCCGATATTCGAATGTTTACCTTTCGAGCTTCGAGTATCATTAAGGATGAGCCGTTTCTTATTCTTTCTTGTTCTTGTTCTTGTTCTTTAACCTTTTTGTCGAGATCCAATGGCAGCAAATATGTGAACCAGTAGGGACCGGAATTTCACTACCTTCACTGCCAAGGCAAAAACATAAAAGAAATGAAAAGAACAGCTCAGGCAATACTCAGATATAAAATGATTGATTCTTTTATTTGTTTGCTCAAACTGCCATGGCTTTCCTGAAACATTGCCTCAGCCTCTGTGCTCTTCTGCACTGCTTGCTTTCTCTGTTGCATTTAGTGAACGGTGAAGGTTAGCTCTCTCTCTCTCTCTCTCTCTCTCTCTCTCTCTCTCCTCCCTAAGTTTGTAAAACTCATTGACTGCACAGAAGTACAAAATCCCGGTCCGGGATAGTCCCTTGTTCCACCGTCCGGGTCTACTTACAATAAGCCAATTAAGAATTCCCAGATATACTAGTACTAGCAAGTGCATCTTTGATGCATTCATCGATTCTTCCGAGAGGTCACAATTACCGCACCCTTTTCTCTAGGTCCGGGATAAACCTTTGTTCCACAGTCTGAGTCTGTTTACAACTAGCCAATTAAGAATTCTCAAATGTATTAGTACTAACAACTGCGTCTTTGATGCATTCATCGATTCTCCCAAGAGGTCACAATTACCCCACCCTTTTCTCTAGGTTCGGGATAATCCTTTGTTCCACAGTCCGAGTCTATTTACAACTAGCAAATTAAGAATTCTCAGATGTATTAGTACTAGTAAGTGCATCTTTGATGCATTCATCGATTCTCCCGAGAGGTCACAATTACCGCAACCTTTTCTCCAGGTTCGAAATAATCCTTTGTTCCACTGTCTGGGTCTATTTACAACTAGCCAATTAAGAATTCTCATATGTACGAGTACTAGCAAGTGCATCTTTGATGCAGTCCTCGATTCTCCCAAAAGGTTACAATTACAAAGAGCAAACATATTAATGACGAGTAACACATTTTTGCTATTCTACTAATACATGTACTTGCTCTACTATTCGGTTGAAGCTTGTCTAAGGAAGTCATCTTTCTAGGCAAATTCATCAAAGAAATCAAAGAAATATAAAGTGTGAATAAAGTCGGTCAAACTTACGATTCTTTTCATAATGATGAATGGCCTTCTTTTTCATGTCTTTTGTGATGTCCCACGTTGGTTGGGGAGGAGAACAAACCACCATTTATAAGGGTGTAGAAACCTTCCCCTAGCAGGCGTGTTTTGAAGCCTTGAAGGGAAGCCCGAAAGGGAAAGCCCAAAGAGGACAATATCTGCTAGCAATGGATCTGGGGCATTACAAATGGTATCAGAGCCAGACACTGGACAATGCGCCAGCCTTCTCGCTGTTCCCCAAAGGGGGTAGACACGAGCTAGCGGTGGATTTAGGGCGTTACAAATGGTATCAGAGCCAGACACTGGACAATGTGTCAGCCTTTTCGCTGTTCCCTGAAGGGGGTAGACACGAGGCGGTGTGCCAGTAAAGACGCTGGCCCCAAAGGGGGGTGGATTTAGGGGCAGTTCCACATCGATTGGAGGAAGGAAAGAGTGCCAGCGAGGACGCTGGGCCCCGAAGGGGGGTGGATTTTGATGTCCCACATTGGTTGGGGAGGAGAACAAACCACCATTTATAAGGGTGTGGAAACCTTCCCCTAGCAGACGTGTTTTAAAGCCTTGAGGGGAAGCCCGAAAGGGAAAGCCCAAAGAGGACAATACCTGCTAGCGGTGGATCTAGGGCGTTACAAATGGTATCAGAGCAAAACACTGGACAATGTGCCAGCTTTCTCGCTGTTCCCCGAAGGGGGGTAGACACGAGGCGGTGTGCCAGTAAAGACGCTGGGTCTCGAAGGGGGGTGGTGGGGAGGAGAACAAACCACCATTTATAAGGGTGTGGAAACCTTCCCCTAGCAGACGCGTTTTAAAGCCTTAAGGGAAAGCCCAAAGAGGACAATATCTACTAGCGATAGATCTGGGACGTTACATCTAGTGAAACTTCAATACCTGTCTACCTGCAGTTGATTTAGAAGAGCTTTTCAAAGGCTTTAACATCTACAAAAACTCACAAAGCCAGTTGTATCTCAACAAAAACTCCAAAGCACAATGTATAGCAGAACAAATCGCGAAGAAATTGTACAACCAACTGCCTTGCAGTCGAACCATCGACGGTGACGCCCTTTTGCCATCGAACCAAAGCCAACTTCCATTGTTCACTCATTACTCAAGAAAGTGCCAAGTTAACCTCAATCATACACTAGATGCTGTTATTTTACCCATATACGTGCCTAACTCAGAAGCTGAGCTTGTGCTTGCTGGCTGCAAACATTCTCAGGCTTCAAAGTACTTGGGTAATACAACTTATACAAGGGTAGGCCTTGCAAAAAATAAAGATTGTTTGGTGATTGCTTTGGGTACTGATGCACTTGGTGGAAGCTATTCTGCTGGTGTCTCTCGGATTCAAAATATCGGTCGGGTTTATTGCTTGGGATTTATTGTTTTCGGGGTCATTTCTTTGTTTTGGTGAGGATCAATAGCGCTTGTTTCCTTTCATCTCCTACATGTTACGATTTACGTTCAATGAACGTAACAAGGAGTCATGTAATGCAGTACACCTTCACTTTATACAATATGGAACAGCTTGAAGAATTTATTTCTTTATCTTCTTCCTTTCTATTCTATAACTGTACATCATTCGGTCGACTATAATAGCCCAAGCCCACCGCTAGCAGATATTGTTCTCTTTGGGCTTTCTCTTTCGAGTTTTCCCTCAAAGTTTTAAAACATGTATGCTAAGGAGAGGTTTCCACACCCTTATAAGTAATACTTCGTTCACCTCTCCAACCGATGTGGATCTCACAATCCACCCCCTAGAGGGCCCAACGTCCTCCCTGGCACACCGTCTAGTGTTTGGCTCTAATACCATTTGTAATAGTCCAACCCCACCGCTAGTAGATATTGTCCTCTTTGGACTTTCCCTTTCGAGTTTTCCCTCAAGATTTTAAAACACGTCTACTAGGGAGAGGTTTTCACACCCTTATAAGTAATGCTTCATTCACCTCTCCAACCGATGTGGATCTCACAATCCACCCCCTAAGGGGCCCAACGTCCTCCCTGGCACACCGTCCAGTGTTTGGCTCTGATACCATTTGTAATAGTTCAACCCCACCGCTAGTAGATATTGTCTTCTTTGGGCTTTCCCTTTCGGGTTTTCCCTCAAGGTTTTAAAACGTGTCTGCTAGGGAGAGGTTTCCACACCCTTATAAGGAATGCTTCGTTCACCTCTCCAACCGATGTGGATCTCACAATCCACCCCCTAGAGGGCCCAACGTCCTCCCTGGCACACTGTCCAATGTTTGGCTCTGATACCATTTGTAATAGTTCAACCTCACCGCTAGTAGATATTGTCCTCTTTGGGTTTTCCCTTTCGGGTTTCCCCTCAAGATTTTAAAACGTGACTGCTAAGGAGAGGTTTCCACACCCTTATAAGGAATGCTTCGTTCCCCTCTCCAACCAATGTGAGATCTCACACTTACAGAGCGGTCTCTTATCATTGGAAAATGGGGAATAGAAATGCAGCAGCCTAATAGAATCTGCTTTAAATCCCAAGAAAAACATCTTATGATAGAAAGCTGAACCAGTGCCCATATCGAGGAAGGAAGTAAAAAGTGAAAAAGTAAACAAAAGAAGAAACCCCAACTTCAGAAAAGAACCTGCTGAGCAGCCAAAGGGAAATAAATAAAACACATGAAGAATCCTCCGGTACGATCATAAAACGATACTATAACAAAGCTTAGATACCGATAATCCCCCAAAAAAACAACCAGGAAGATCAAAATCATCAAAAGATAACGAAATCGAAAGCTAAAATATGAATGCCTATTGATAGAAATCAGAACTACAACACAGTTTTGCTTGCTTGTGTTGTGCATCACCTAAACTGTTTGGAATATTGTGCATAAAATAAATGAACTTGAAACACCTTGAGAAAAAGAAACCCAACACTCTTCCTTAATCAAATGAGCAAGAATATATCCCAGCAGGTCCACGTCTATACCGTTCATTGTTAGACGAACATGACTCTCCATAATGGTATGATATTGTCCACTTTGAGTATAAGCTCTCATGGTTTTGCTTTGGGCTTCCCCAAAAGGCCTCAAACCAATGGAGAGAGTATTCTTTGTTTATAAACCCATTATCATTCCTTAAATTAGCCAATGTGGGACTTTCATCATCCAACCGTAGAGAATAGTTCAGAAATGTCTTTGCAATTCCAAATCTTGAGACAATTTTAGAACTGAGGTAGGTGGGATTTCATACCTATACGCCTTTATAGGAATGACTAATGAACACATAAAGTGTAATATGGAAAGCTTATACCCTTCACGAATAAAGCAAAGCAGTATTGCTAGAACAAGCAAATTCTAAAGAGATCAGAATGGAAGAACCCAAAAAAAAAAGGATAAAAAGAGACAAGAACCTCGTATTCTTTGTCCAAGCAAGCCTGATGCCTTCTCCTTGACCCTCCTGCAGCTGCATAATGGCCTTGCTCTCCCACAAACTTGGCTTCTTCCTCTACATTGTTGCCCATGGCTTGCTGCTATTGTCGTGCTCAGTACATGGCGATGGACCTAATGGTTTTCTCTCTCTCTCTCTCTCTCTCTCTCTCTCTCTCTCTCTCTCTCTCTCTAAAGACACACACACAAACATATATGAGCTTCATAGTTCCTTGTCTTTGATGGTTCTTTCCTGTTGAGCTGTTTTACTGATAATTCCCCATTATCCATAGACATCATTTGTTATGGTTGAGGATTATTGGGAGTGAGTCCCACATTGGCTAATTTAGGGAATGATCATGGGTTTATAAGTGAGGAATACTATCTCCATTGGTATGAGGCCTTTTGGGGAAGCCCAAAGCAAAGCCATGAGAGCTTATGCTCAAAGTGGACAATATCGTACCAGTGTGGAGAGTCGTGATTCCTAACATGGTATCAGAGTCATGCCCTAAAACTTAGCTATGTTAATAGAATCCTCAAATATCGAACAAAGAATTGTGAGTCTCGAAGGTGTAGTCAAAAGTGACTAAAAGTGTCGAACAAAGGGTATACTTTGTTCGAGGGTTCCAGAGAAAGGAGTTAAGCCTCGATTAAGGGGAGACTGTTCGAGGGCTCCATAGGCCTTAGGGGAGGCTCTATAGTGTACTTTGTTCGAGTAGAGGATTGTTGGTTAATTTAGGGAATGATCATGGGTTTACGAGTAAGGTTCTCCATTGATATGAAGTCTTTTGGGAAGCCTAAAAGCAAAGCAACGAGAGCTTATGCTCAAAGTGGACAATATCATACCATCGTGGAGAGTCGTGATTCCTAACACATAGCTCCTTGTCTTTGATGGTCTTTGATGGGTTCTTTCCTGTTGAACTGTTTTACTTGTAATTCCCCATTAGCCATAGACATCATTTGCTATATGCTATCTATCTCATAGAAACTCACACCTAAATCATCCATCATTTGCAGTGAAAGAAGACGTGCTTTTCCAAGCCATGAACAGCTATAGAAAGTCCATAAAACTTACCCCCATGAACAAGAACTCCAAAGCAGGCTGCCTAGTCAAGCAAATCGCTTGGGACTTCGACGACCAGTCGCCCCTCAGCATCTTCCTCAGCGGCTCCACCATTGCACCAAGCAACTTCTCCCAACTCCCTAGTCTACCCGACTACCTGTCCAAATGCAAAATCGAGCTCAATCACACAAAAAATGGCCTGATTTTGCCTCTCCATATCCCCACTTTGGCATTGAATCTTGTTCTCCATGAATGTACAAATTCCCAAATGGCTAAGTACTGGAGCAAACCTGAATTCACGTCGGTCGGAATTGGGTGTTTTGAACAATGGGTAGTGTTCGCTTTTGCCACCGATTCGCCTACCGGAAGCTTTTCTTCTGCCGTGAATTTGTCTGATTTGGGTCTTCGACATTTTTACTTGGTGTTATCCGTGCTGTTGGGGTTGCTTCTTCTCTCGGGTTGAGGACCGTTTTCCTTTCCATCTCAAACGACATGTCGGTCGGGTTCTGGAAATTTCAAGCATCCTGCCACAATAATTACATTCTTTTTTTCTTTATTTTGTGTTCGTTTTTACAAGTGTTTTTCATCGAATTGTTATCTTAAATTCTTATCTTAAGGAGGAAAAAAAGAGTTTTTCTAAAGCCGCTAAATTATACTTCTATGTTTAACTATCGTAATTACTAGGGATGTACATTCAACCCAATAACTCAACAATTCGGATCAATCCAACTCGAACTATAAGGGTTGAATAAACATTTTGGGTATGGTTGAATTCATTTTTCTAAACCCAAACTGAATCGGTTTGGTTTCGTGGTGACTCGAGCCAAAATAAAATATATTTAAAAAAATTTCGTATTAATGAGTTTGCTAGAGTGATACTTAGGCTAGTTGAAGGACACTAATGTCCGAGTTTAATGTTTTTTTAGATTGATTTGTATTTGTTTGTAAACTTTTAATATATTTCCCAAACCCAACCCAAAAATAGAGGGTTGGATTGGGTTGTGAAAAGTTTCGGGTTGGGTTGGGTTACCAATCCAACCAACTCGAACTTTTGGGTTAGATCAAAAAATCCCTCAACCCAACCCAACCCAACCCGAACCATGTACACTACTCTAGTATTCTAATAAATCTATTACTTAGCTAACTTAAATAATTAATTGGTATGAGTTGATTTATTTTTATTAAGTCAAATTTTAAAATAACTTTCATATATTAATAAATATATTAGGTTTAAAAATCAGTTATAATAATTATTCCCAAACAGATAATTTAATAATTTGTAAACCATTAATATAATAATCCAATTAAAACATTACATGTTACATTCCAAAAATCAAATATAACAACTAAATACCTACCAAATGAATATTTATATTAGGTTAATATTTGTTCTACGAGTTTGGTAGACATATTATAAAAACTGTAATGCTAGCTCAAAACGAGATATTACAAGTAAAAAATAATATATGAGTGCCATAAATTCACAAAATATTTTTTTACAAATAAAAATGAATTAAATAAATATATGATTATTTATTTATTTATTTAGGACGGTAGAACATACGTTTTAATAATAATAGTTCAATATTATTAATTATAAATTTAATTTAAATTAATTAATTGTAATTAAATAATATACAGAAATATATTTTAATAAACAATACCCAAAAAAGAAAGAAAAATAAAATAAAATACGTTAGTAATGAATGTTAATAAACATATAAAGTATAGAAAAAATATTTTAAAATTATGATAGGACAATAATGAATAATATAATCAAAGTTAATCCAAATTATGGTAGGATAATGATGAATAATATAATCAAAGTTAATCCAATAAATAATTATCGTAATTAATTAATTAATTATATTTACATAGGTAATCACATTCCTTTAATTGTTTTTTTTTTAATTTTTTACAAATGAATTAAGTAAATATCTCAATAAATTATTATTGATTTATTAAATTAAATAATTAATTATAGTAACTTTTTTTTAGGTAATATCAATTAGTTAATTAATTATTTAACTACATTCAAAATATAACTAATAGACAAAATTAAAAGCAAAGAAAGGAAGAGACAAAAATATGGTGCATATAAAGTATTGAAAACCGTGTAACAAACATGGGTCCGACTTCCATAGGTTGAAAACTGTGTAATAAACATGGAGTCTACTAGCCTAGGTAAATGTTGAAAACAGTAAATGAAACTAAGGTTCGGCTTGCCTATGCAAGTGTTTAAAACTGTATATCAAACCTGAGTTCGATTTTACCTAGGTAAGTGTTCGAAAATTGTGTCATAAACATGAGTTTGACTTGCCTATGCTAAGTGTTGAAAATTGTGTAATAAACATGAAACTTTGCTAGCCTAGGCAAGTGTTGAAAACTGTATATCAAACTTGGGTTCGACTTGCCTATGCAAACGTAAAAACTGTATATCAAACTTGGGTTTGACTTGACTATGCAAGTATTGAAAATTGTATATCAAACCTAGGTTCGACTTACCTGTGCAAGTATTGAAAACTGTATTAGAACATGAGTTCAGCTTGCTTGTGCAAGTGTTGAAAACTACGTAATGAACATGGGTTCGACTTGCTTGTGCAACACACATGAGCTTAGCTAGTCTATGCAAGTGTTGAAAACTTTGATGCAAGTGTTTGAATTATATAACAAACATAGGTTCAGCTTATCTGTGCACATATTGAAAACTATGTAACAAACATAGGCTCGACTTGCCTATACAAGTATTAAGAACTATGTAACACACGGGTTTAACTAGTCTATGTAAATGTTAAAAACTGGTAACAAACATGGGTTCAGATTGCCTATACAAAAATTAAAAACGGTATAGCAAACATGAGTCTAGTTAACCAAAATTTCAAACTAAACGGTTCTTCATAAATGAGAAAACTCCAACCTCCTAAATATGATATAATAGGAACAACATTAACATGAGTTCTGTTAGGGTATATCTATTTCCGTCAAACAAAACTTTAAGCTAAACGGCTCTTCAAAAACGAGTAAACTCCAACCTAAATATGATATAATTGGAAGATGGAAGGAATTGGAAGAATATGTGTGTACTATGTTTGGAATTTTGGATAACAAAATTCCTCCTCCACTGGATGCCAGATGTAATGTCCACAACAATTCCCGGAGACAAAGCTTAAGAGAGTAACCTGCCCACTATTTTTGCTTAGTAAACAAGTAAATCAAGAGTCCAAAGTCCTCCTTCACTGAAGGCCATCTGGAATATCCACAGCAAAACCCAGAGACAAGAATCAAGGACGCATCCTCTCCTCTACCCTTTATAAAGAATCGAACTCCCCAGCACTCAGCCACTCACCACAGCACAAATACACACTCAAAACTCAAATCCACCAATGCCTTCTTCTTCTTCTTCTTCCTACTCTCTCTTTGGCGTTGTCGCCATTGCCTTCCTCGTCTCCGTCTCCTCCCCTGTTCTCTCCTCCAAAGGTATAGTTTTCTCTCCCTCTCTCGTGCTTTTCTGGGTTCGTGTTTCTTTCGATTTTTCATTTGGGAATTTCTTGTTGAAGGGTCACTAGTAGATACATGTGTTGAAGGGTCACTCGTAGATACATGTATGAATAGATACATGTGTTGAAGGGTCACTAGTAGATACATGTATGAATAGATACATGTGTTGAAGGGTCACTAATAGATACATGTGTTGAAGGGTCATTGGTAGATACATGTATGAATAGATACATGTGTTGAAGGGTCACTCGTAGATATATGTATGAATAGATATATGTGTTGAAGAGTCACTCGTAGATACATGTGTTGAATGGTCACTAGTAGATACATGTGTTGAAGGGTCACTAGTAGATATGAATAGATATAAGTAGGTTCCATTAGTTCCTAATTAAATAGATGCATGACTTTTTGGATAATGAATGGTAACAGGGAATGTCCCAAATTACCTATATGTATGTTGGTATTGGTGGAAGAAGTAGAAAATCAATCCAGCATTCCTTCATAATTTTATAAAGTTCTCTTCTTTTCAAGAATTCTACCAAATTTCTCTGTTGTCACTGACATTTCTATATATATATATCAGAATTTCTAACCGAGCTGGGATCGAAAAAACCAAGAAAAATGCATTTTTCTTTAGGAATTTATATGGAAATGACAGTCTGAGCATTGGAGCAATAAAAAACCTTCCAATTTTGGGAACATAACAATGAATTTGTTCCTTCATTGCTATCAATCTGTACAAAACTTGTAAGAATATCTTAGAGAATTGTTTTTTAATCCAATCTGATACAAAATACTTCTCTATTTGATAGGGATGGTTAGATGAACACGATTCTCTACAATGCTATGATATTGTCCACTTTGAGTATAAGTTCTTATAGCTTTGCTTTGGGCTTCCAAAAGACCTCGTACCAATGGAGATAGTATTCCTTGATATTATAAACTCATGATCATTCCTTAAATTAGCTGAGGTGGGACTTTTATCATCCAACACCTCCCCTTAAACAAAGTACGCCTCCCATTAATCGAGGCTCAACTTCTTTTTCTTTTGGAGTCCTTTGTTCGACATTTGAGGATTTACCAATCTATTGGCACGACTAAGTTTAGGGCATAGCTTTGATACCATGTTAGATGAACACGACTCTCCACAATGGTATGATATTGTCCACTTTGAGCCTAAGCTTTCATGACTTTACTTTGGTTTTCCCTCCAAAAGGCCTCATACCAATAGAGGTAGTATTCCTTGATTATAAATCCATTATCATTCCCTAAATTAGCCGAAGTGGGACTTTTATCATCCAATAAGTACTTCAAATGACATTAAATGTTTTGATTAAGAAAATTAAAAACAAACAAACAAGCTCGTGAAACATGGAGGACAACAGTCTGCATATGAATGCTCTGAAAAAAATTTGCCAATTACCTGACTGCAGTTGAAGAAGATAAAGAAAACCTTCTGCAAGGCCTAAACGGCTACCGACAAGCACAGAAGCTCCCGCCGTTTGAAAAGAACGCAAAAGCCTACTGCATCGCAGAAAAAATCGCCGAGGTAGACAAGGACCATCCCTGCAACATTACCACCGCTAATTCAACCGTCACCGCACGCCACCTCTCGCAGATTGAGAATTTCGAGCATTACGCCGAGAAATGCAAGGTCGACCTCAACACCACCGCCGACGCCATCGTGATGCCGGTGTGTGTACCGGATATGGTTGAGCCTATGCTGCTTGCCAACTACACGCAAACGCAGTACGCCCAGTATTTGAACAATTCCAAGTTCGTCGGCGCCGGCCTCGGCGTGGACGTTGACTGGATGGTGGTGATTCTCACCACCGCAGAGCACGGTGGGAGCTTTGCCGGCTCCGGCGCCGGGTCGGTGGTGGCTTCAATGGGAGCGCCGGTGCTGGTGGTTCTGTTAGGGCTTTTCCTTGTGGGAAATCTGTGAGATTGTGAGAGTGTTCTCAGATTTGGCGCCAATGTTCGTTTCTTGGTTTGCAGTTTGTTTAGTATGTAAACGACGTCGTTTCATTTCAATTGAAAGTGTAATTTGAATTTTCTTTTATTAAAAAATATATATATATATATTCGGTGTCTAATTCTTTTTTTATTTAATCTCTAAGCGAGAAATTTACAAAATTAACCCTTCAAATTTCAGAATTTTATTAAATTTAAAATTTAAAATTATATATAATAAATTATTTAAAAGTTTTAAATTTTGTATGAATTAAATTTATTGTTTACAAAATTAAAAATTAAAAATTCAAATATTTTTTTTTAACTAGAAAAGGTGTATTTATTTACCTAATATATATATATATATATATATATATATATATTAATAATTACTTTGGTTTGATATAATTTTTTTTAAAAATAGTTATTTTTTTAAAAATAAAGTTTATATTATCTTAATTTTAAGCTTAACAAATTAGACGTATTTGTACATTAATTCAATATTTATCAATTTATAATATACTTACTCGTAATTATTTTATGAATTTTTTTAAATAATTTAGAGAAAAAAATGAAATAAATCCAAATATTAGAGAAAAAAATAATTTAAAGGCTAAATATAAGGTTAATTTAAGATTTATAAAAATATAGAAAATTAAAACGTAGAAATTAAATAAATGTAACGTAAGGGAAAATTATATTTTATAATTTAATATAATGGGTGGAAACAATGGAGCGCAGTTAGATTCACTCTGTATATTCCGGGCTAAAATGCGCGGCGTGCGCATTTGTTGAGCGTCAAGCTCCTGAATCTCAATTCAACCGACGCCGACGGTGAGAACCGGGTAGACAAGGAGGGAATCGGAGGGGAGGTTCTTCGCTATGGTAGACGAGGAAGATGATGAGAATTTCGGCGACTTCAAATTCGGTATGAATCATCCCAATCAGATCAATAATCGAACTTCTTCCACGAGCATCGATGATGATGATGACTGGGGCGATTTTGTCGACCATTCCTCTCAGATCGGCGTTGGTTTCGATGTCTCCGGTGGTGTCCCCCATGCCCATCCTTCTCCTAATTCAAACGTCTCCGACATGGGTACGAAGATTCAGTGGGCGAAGCCTCAGGGGGCTATTCCGCTTTCGATTTTTGGTGAGGAGGAGGAAGAGAAGGAGGAATCGGGATCCGGTGGGGTTGGGTTTGGAGAGGATTTGTTCGTTGGAAAGGAGAGTGGTTTGGCGAAGAAAGGAGGGAGTTTAGGGGTTGGGGTTCGGATTGATGATCTGATTGCGAATTTGTATAGTTCTAATCAACAGATCGAAGCCGGAAGTCAGTTGAAATCGAACATGGTGTTTGATCCTTTGAACTTCAATGGTTCCTCGAGTATGAAAGCTAATGGCTCTGATTTGAATGTCAATGGCGTTCATTCTTATGCGAGCCAAACGAATTTTGATGGCGATTCTTTGAATTTTGAGGGTAATGGAGTGAAGTCTAATGGGTTCCACCCCGACTCGACCAACGTCGGTGAGAGCATTGAGGATGATGTTGAGGAGGTGGACGATTTTGATGGCTGGGAATTTAAGGCTGCAGAATCGATAACGCCAATGGAAGATCAGCAATCTAAGGTAATATCCTTTTTCCCCTTTCTAACGGGGTTTAAGGCTTTTGTTCTTGGCTTTGATAACGAACAAAGGAAGTTGAAATTGAACTCCATGAATTGGTTTGGTATTCAATGTATGGGAATGGAAGTACATCTTTTTCTGGGCATCAATGTGTTAAACGTAGGAGCTAGTAAAAAAAAGTTAAAAGCAAGTTGGAGCACCTTGGAGAGTCGAGTCGGTCCCTCTCAACGTTGGTTTTCCTTTTTTTTTTTTTTTTACTTTTTGTTTTGATTGCTTTCGAATTCAAATGGCTTTGGACTCGAAGAAGGGGAGCATGGGACACTGAGGTGAATGGATTCAGGGAGGAGGAGATGAAGAAGGAGAAAAAGGCGTTATTCACAATCTACCAAGGAGTAGATGATGCCACGCTTGAGTGGATCTCCCCTGCAAAGTCTTGGTTGGTTGGGGTTGGTTCTTTCCCTCAAAAATAATGGAAGTAGGATTCGCTAACCTTTGGGCCAGAGTCATTCACACCAATGCCATACTTCTTCAGTCTCATGCTCCTATAAGACTTTTAGAGACTCCACCTATTGTAATAAAAAAGGAGTGCAGTCTATTCGTCATGTTCAAGCTTTCAAGCCCAAGAATAGCCAATTGGAAAGACGGTATGAAAAAGTGTTTCTAACTAGTAAGGAATAAGTTCATCTTGAAGGACCTCTATCTCCAAACCCCCGGATCAGATAGGAATTTCAAATTCAGAGTCAGAGTTTTGTTTTCATCCACTTGATTAACGTTAAAATAACCGTAGGAGCTACTCATTTTGGTAACTATACCAGGAAGAACTGGTTTTTGAACCATTTTATCCGAAGATGGAGCCTGCAATGCTAATTGAAGGCGAAATTCACGCCGGTATTGTTAGAAATATATATAGTTCTGTTTGATTTTAGTTATGATATGGTATGAGCATAACTTTTAACTTATATTGAAGACTCCTATAGTTGGTCCTTAGAGCCTACCATAATATGTCTATATCTATGAACTGGTATGTGTATAAGAGAATGATACTTTAAGATTGACATTCAATAATCTGAAGGTTGTCTATGAACAGACTTTTGAATTTGCAATCAATGGACATAACCACGGAAAGTCAAATGTGCAATCAAATGGAGCTGTTAACAACATAGCTGAATGGGACTTTGGTTTTAGTTTTGATTCGCGACCTGCGGTCCAACATAGCAACTTATTAAACTCACAAAATAAAAATGGTCAGAATGATCTAAATAATGGTTTAAATCCCTCTCCTGTTGATCGGAATGCCAAGGGTGATGTACGTGTATGGGATTTCAAGGATGCCTTTTCTAATGCATCAGAGTATAAGTCGGTGAGTTGGTAGGAATGTTTTAGTATTGTATTGAGAAGGTTGAGGTATTTAATAAATTCAGTTATGCCGTACTTTTTATTTTCTTTGTAGGAAGCGTCAAAGCCTGTTGTCGTTCCTCCTTCTAATGGTGCAACTCCTGATGGGATTTCTCTCAAATCTAGTGAACGAAAAATTGACTTAAATTTCAATCATGATTGGGGGAAAGAAGACAGAAAGGTTTTGAATGGAAACCACGATGGCAACTTCCATGAAACCGGGAAAGATAATGAGAATATTCGGAATTTCAAGTCTGCACTTACAGATTCTGGATCAAACAATAAGGTATTTTTGGCCTGTCATATTCATGATATTTAAGTTCCATTTTTCTCTCTAATCGAAATTGATGTTCCACGTCTTACTTTGGCTGTAGGGAGAGCCAGTTGAATCTGTCTCTGGTCTTGAAGCTCCTGCTTTTGGCTTCAATAATAGTAGTCAGGTGGTTGCTCATGCCTCCTGCTGTATGATAAATTGCTATGGTGTTGTTTTGTTTCATGTAACGTCGGAAGTTTTTTTTGTCATAGAAAAGGATGATTATGCTTCATAATGCATTAAAATTAGTGAGAAGCTGTCAATTTATTCGTAGTAGTTCTTTTATAAGGGTGCTTCTGCACTTTGGGGCGGGTACAAACTTTTAGAGAAAAAGGGATTCTTCTGCTCTTGCTCAGATTCTTAAAGAGAAATTACTGATCCTATCATGGCAACGCACAGCGTGTGCTCGATGAATGTATATATTAATGTCCAAAAATATATCTGCATATTCTAAATCTGTAAACCATATTTTTTTCCTTTGCATTCTAGATGGGAAAGTTTCTTGTAGTTTTTATTCTTGAAGTTTGAGGTTATTTCGTGTTATATCGATTATTGTTGTTGGGGTCGTTTTGTTGCCCCCCAAACCTTGTAATAGTAAAAACTTTGATATGAATGATCTAAATATTCTTGTTCTAGTTCTGTGCACTTTACCGTCTATGCGGATGTAATATCCATGTCGAAATCCACAATCTTACTTTGTATTCTACCTTCATTGTTTTATATCTTGTCAAACCTTGAGCTATCCATGTTTCGTTTGTTTCTATAGACATATTGTGCTTTGGGCTGTAATGATTGGTTCTTTCTATTTTTTCTTACAGAGGAATTCGGAATTACCGTACGGTCCCGGAAAAGCCTTGCCCTTGTCAATTTTTGGAGATGAGGGGCTGGAAACTACTGATGATCTCTCTTTGAATCAAGATGCTTCTACCTTTACATCTGTTACCCCTGAAGGACATGATGCCAAGAATCCTGATTCTAGTGTATCTATCAATGACTTGATATCAAGTCTATATAGTCAAGCTGAGAAAAATGGTTCCATCAAATATTCCCCAGAAGAAAATGAGAATGGAACAAAGTCACCATCAAGGATGTCACATTCAGATTTAGGCAATGAAGATGATGATGATTCCTGGGAGTTTAAGGATGCATCACCAGATGTTAACGTGCCAGATCAATCTTATGTTACTACTCTTGGAGATTTACCCAAGCAGTCATCTTCTAAACTTCAGTTTGTTTGTTACGTGGATCTTTATCACAAATTAAATCTTGCTTTGAACCATGTTGTTCATGGCCTTCTTGAGAATCTAAAGGTTGGTAATCTTATGAATATGACCTTGCATGATATGTGTTCTTAAAGTTTTTAACTTTTTTTTTTTTTTTTTTAGAAGGCTCAAGATGATGCCTCTCTTTCTGATGAAGAAGCAAAATTAAAAGCCATCTATGAAGAAATTCAGGTTAGTAACGATGCATGCTTCTTTTTTTCTGGATTTGCCTTTATTGTGATCTCTTCAGTTTTGAGCCATGATGAATCTTTTTACTCGAACTTTCTCAAGATGTATACTTTCATTTGATTGTTTATGTAAACACTCATCGTTAGAACTTATTCATTTTCCTTTTGCATTTGCATCTCTTTTCGTAATGATTACGAGTCATATTTGCTATGAGATGCCAATGCTGCGTCTTTCTTATGGAATATGTGGTATTTTCCTGTGAACTTCTTAACAAAGTTTTCTTCTTCCTTCAGAATTTTAGTGCCGAACTGTCTCAAGAGAACATGACGACGGATAACTTCTCATCAGATGTTCTCCTTCCAGGAAATAATTCTTTTAGTGAGCTCTTTGAAATGTTGCGGGATCCAAGGTTTCAAATTCTCGACAAAGAATTTCAGTTGTCAGAAAGGCTTCTATTGGTAAGACTCCCTTGCATTAGGACGATATTTGTTTATTTTTGGCATGAAACAAACTGCTATTAGCTTTTAGAAATTTGAATCTCCTAGTGTTCGAGGTCGTTCACAATCACTCGCCGTTGCCTAGTGTTAGAAATTTGAAGTTCCTTCTGTTGCAAGCATGGATGTATTTTTTAATTCCAAATGATTTAGGAAAGTCGTGATTGCTGCATTACATAAGGATGTTCGAGTCTGGTATTTTTCTTTTCTAGAATTTAGAAACTTGTGGATTTCTTTCTTTTTTTTTTTTTTTTGTACTTTTTAAGACATCTAAAATACAGAGCAATTTCAATTACACCTTTATGCTCCAAATCTAGAAGTATTTGAATATTTTGTCCTTGCTTATGGATATTAATTACTTGATCATGCTTCCTTGTTCTATTGATAGGCAGAAAATGATTTGAGATCAGCTGTTGAGCTCTTGAAACACGTCGTGTCGACTCTGAAGATTCTCAAACTTGTATCAGCGGAGGAGCAATCGAACTATGTTTCTGTATGGAACAAATTGCTTTTAATGTGCTTTCAAGAACTAAAACATGGTGCCTTGATTTGGAAGGAATCCGTACAGAGAAGTGTTGAAAGTTACATATTATCTGAACCTCAAGGTACTGCATCATTTAGCACCACGGTAATGTTCCAAGTTGCAAATTAGCTGACAATTCTTCCCTACCATTGTTTCAGGAAAACGGTATATATGCGCCCTCGGAGAGATTTATAGGGTAGTTCAAGTGCTTAGAGCCTCGGTTAAACTTTACAAGCCATGGGTCCTGTTAGGTCAGGTCGATCCCAGTGGCTTGATTTCTCTTCTAAACGAGTGCTCCGATATTTGGTCGAGTTCAGGACTCCTTGAAGCTCTCTGCAAAATAGATGGTCCTATTGATTGCAATGGATTAATGCGTTCTATCAATTTTATACAGAATCTTGATGAATGGGGTCTGCGAAAGCATGTTCTCTTGGAACAACAACCTACTTGTTGTCTGTCACTCTTAAATGCTGAATCGATACCAGGTATGCACCAATTCTATTGTTCTTTCTTTTCATAGACTTCATTAGAACAAAAAAATTATAGAAGAAGAGGAGAGGAGGCATCGAGGCATCGACCCGCCCGCAGATTAATGAGATAACAAGAAAGCTACTCCATTGTGCTTGAATATATATAAAAATCAAAATGAAAAGGACAATTACAAATGAGATACGAGGCCCTGTTACAATCTATCATCGAAAACTTATGATTTCTTTCCTTTCAAGACTTCCGAAGAATCCGTTTAAGCCTTTAACGCTGTTCATTCATATCATTTAGGCCTTTCTCTTTGTAAGCGAGGAGGAAATTCAAGAGTACTCTAGAAACTCCTTGTTTTGACTAACCTTTCATTTGATAGTTAGAATCCATAAGTTTTGGTGTAAAGTAAAAAACTAAGTCAATTCCCAAACTGTTGGTTTTCGTCTCGATTGCAAGTCCCTCAACTTCTCTAATTCAACGGTCATCCACCATGAAATCTTTGGAGATCGCTCAAACGAACCTGGGCAACTTAGTGCAAGTGTGGCTAGTTAGCATCCCATGATTTGGTCTTTAGAGTTTACACAGCCTCATTTACCCAACTAAAGGCAGAAAACTGATTTGATTCGAACCACTAGTTATGAAAACTTTCCACATGCTGCTTCAGAGTGAACCTACCAAGACGATCAACAGACTGCCAAACCCGTATGGCATTCAGCACGACATTCTTTTACCTTAGATCTTGAACCCCTTCCTCCGTTGGGTTTGATAGCTATAGCTAGTACTTCCTTCTCTCTTTACGAAAAACAATGTTTATTCAAGAATTATTGCATGACGAGGACCCTTCTAGTCAAGGTTTGAGTTAAATCTTTAGTGCTGTGTGTCATGATTGTACATCTTCAACCATGCAGCGTCATGATCTTGACACGCTCACGACAAGTCCTACTTTCTCTCAATGAGGTTGCGACTATGTATGGCATTGAAAACTTTTAATATCCCAGTATTGTGCACTAACACCAACACCTCCCATCCCCTCACCCCACTAGAACGAATAGGAGATCTATCAGTACATCATCTGCTACATATCTAGAGTAGTGAAGGAGCTCTTCTATGTTTCAGCTTGACAAGCTACTTGAGTTTCCAAAAAACACATAACCCCCGAGATTGTCATTGTTAAGGATATTTAGTAATAAATTATAGTTTACCATATATATTATATTTGATATTTTATTATAAGGCAAATATAGATATTTGCCTTATTACTATAGGTATCTTTCCATTTATTGTTATTTCCATTTATTACTATTTCCATATCCTTGTAATTTATTTGATTATAAATAAGATAACTTTCACACCATTTAGGTGTGGTGGATTAAGCAAACATTCACATGGTATCAGAGCCATTTTGGTTTAGCAACCTAGATCCTTTCTTTTCAATGGCTTTTGAAATCTTCTACTGTTCTTCTCCACCACCACTGTTGTCTTTGATGCCGCAGGGGCAGTCGTCATGGCTGTCACATGCAGAGTCGATTGATTATTCTTCGGCTCCACCTTTTTGACCTCCAAATCATCCTTCGCCATACTCTGTACATACAACCTCACCTTTTCCAAACATAGCCTCTTTCATTTTCTTCCCAATTTTTCTTCATCCTTCACAAAAACCCTAATCTTAGGATCTTCATCAGCATTCCTCTTCGAAAATATACAGAATCTCAATGAGCCCGTCGACCTTCTGCAGAGATTTACCTTTGGAATCTGGGCGCCGCACTGGCATCTTCGCTAACCAAGTTGCCGCCGCCCTTCTCGCCAAAATTGGCTCCTTCGCCCCAATGTGGCGACTCTTCCAGCTGCCCTTCTCACCAAAATTGGCTCATTCACCCAATGTGGCGACTCTTCTGGCTTCAACATTGTCTTTGTCCCTTGCTTTAGGTTTCCCCTTCTATTTCTTGGGGTTAGACATATTCTCACCAGAGCCAAGGCAGCATCGTCGCTAAGCGACAATCCCTCTTCATGGGTTAGACATATTCTCACCGAAGCCAAGGCAGCATCGCCGCTGAGCGGCGATCTCTCTGCAGTTTTCGATGGCCAAGAAAGTGTTTCTCTACGCCTCCTCTGAACCAGGTTGTTGACATCTTCACGAAAAGTGATTCTCAACCTCTTTGAATTTTTCAGATTCAAGCTTCACGTTCGTTTAAATCCGACGCTTAGCTTGCGGTGGGGTGTTAAGGATATTTAGTAATAAATTATAGTTTACCATATATATTATATTTGATATTTTATTATAAGGCAAATATAGATATTTGCCTTATTACTATAGGTATCTTTCCATTTATTGTTATTTCCATTTATTACTATTTCCATATCCTTGTAATTTATTTGATTATAAATAAGATAACTTTCACACCATTTAGGTGTGGTGGATTAAGCAAACATTCACAGTCATAAAAGAAAAAAAAAGGAATGAGTGTCAAGGGACTTGTGACTAACATTGAACTTGGTAAAATGAAATGATTGAATAATTGAAAAATGAGATTATCCAGAAATACACCTTGAATGCTAAGATTACGCATTGAGTTTCTGGTAGTAGATTCATACTCGTAAAAGTGTTATATTATATCCTATTTCTACACTTCCATCTTCCTGAGATTTTGTTTTCGAATTAGGGCTGGATTTAGTGGTCTGGAATGGGAAGAACTACTTCTTGAAGCTCGCAAACTTATGGGCAAATCGTATCGGCCGTGATCCTCCTTTCATTCATCACACAAATAATAGGTGATATAAAAGAGGATCCAGAAATCCAGCCTGAACTGTTTTGTATAGTACTCTGGATGATGCGGCTGTTGCCATTTTCTCCAAACACACAGTTTCATTGGCTTTCATCCCAGCTCTGCTGCTCATCCCTGTGGATGTTCAATAATAGGAAATGCTAGATGATTTCACACTTCTTGAAATGATCATGAAAGGAACACTTTCTGGGTTTTCAAGAAGATCAAATATATATATATATACCCATCTGGGTCTCTTGGGATCCGATCCGTACTCCGCCATTCTTTAGAAGAGCTACCGTGTAGCGATTCGACGACGTTTCGTATTTTGTATCATATTATGCTGTCCAGAACTGGATGGATGCAGTACACAACATACATAGAGAGGAATCTTATCATATTGGAGGTCATTTTTGTTCCAACGTTTTTTTCTTTTCTTTAAAATCCATTTTGGTTCTTGTTTAAATGCTATATTTCTAGTTCAGAATCCCAGAATTATCAGAACAATATCTGTTATTAGGGTGGAACTTCTTCTTGTGTACAATGTATGTATGTATGTATATATTGGTATTTATAGTATGTGAATGTAATTGATTTCATTGTTCCATTGTGTTCAAGTGTTCATAACAACATGTTATTATTATACCTTACTACTGCAATTCCTGGATTTGAATGGGTATAATCTGAAAGTTCTTCATCTATTGGATTTCTTTGCAAGACTGAGTGCTTGATTGTTAAATAATTAGGTAGATTATTTGTTAAGAGCTGATTTTATGGGTTTGTTACTCTTAAACTCTTGCGATCTTTAGATTTCTCGTCAAAAATACCCTCTCCAATATAGCCATTTTCATCATTTCTTCGCATGTACCCGCCGTAGCATTCAAGTAATGTCTCTTGATTTCACATGTTTCAGCCTGTGATTTATAAATGGCTTCCGCACAAAATAGGAAACGGTCTCTCCAACGCATAAATGGTTGGGAATTCACGTTTTCATCATCTTTGGTAAAATCAAATCCACTGCATAGACATTCATAAACCGCTCTACCATAATTCTTAGCAGATAATCCCAATTTTGGTTTAATCCTAATAGAGGGTGACCATACTTGTTCTAGGCCTTGAAAAGTTTGCAGCATGGACTGGCCTCCTCTATAACATACTCAATTTTGGTGGAGATCCAACCGTTAAAAATGAAGATTTTGAAGAATTTTCTAATTACTACTCCGTCCATCTGATTTTCTGATCAAAGGCATTTTAGTAATTATCTTGAAGTTCAAGGGTATTTTAGTAATTTACCATTTTTGAAATATTTCATATTATTTTTTGTTTGAGTTGGATTATAAACTTTTATAGAAACGGTGGTTTCTTAGGTTGAATTGAATCAATTTAAAGTTATGGTTAATTTTAAAATATATATTTTAGCCCACAGATTACAAAATTGAGTGGTAAATTTTAATTAAATATTTAAAAATAAGTGAAAAATATTTTATAAACTAACATTTTACTTTTTACTTCATATAAAACTTTGAATAAACAGCCCAAACACAAAAATTCATAATCCGTTTGTCTAATGAATTGAGTTTGAATCTTCAATTTATTTTCCTATTTAATTTAATTTTAAATTTTATTATATAGATTCAATGTATTTATTGTTTCTTCACTATATTTGTGTCACTATCATCATCTCATTTCCAAATATATTATTATCCAATGATTGTACGTACAATTAATCCAACATCACCCACATCTTCACAATCCAAAATTATGACCAGCAAGATAAGTCGTTTTAAGGTAATGTGACTCCGACAATGTTTACGAACATTTTCGGTTATTGGCTGAGGAGAGCAAGCACGGTTATAGTAGCAGAGGAGGGCAAGCAGCGGGTAGTGGCAGATGTTTTCGACGATCTACAGTTAGCGATCGAGGAGGACGAGTAGCGATTTGAAGGGGTGAGGGGCAAAGGGTAGTGGCAAAATGATGGAAGAAAGGAATACATGTGAGGAAGGATAGAATAATGCAAATGAATACACAGATTTTGTTTTCTACAACACCCCAATTCGATCGCCGGAAAATGGTTTTCGCTCGCGTTCTAGAGCGGTTTCGAAAAGCTACTTGACTTGAATTTCAAAGAGAGAGCCTAAAACGGAACCCTAGTTTGGTGTAAAACCGAGTTGCACTCGATATGTTTTGTAGATTAAAATCAAGTTGCGGTCAATATTCCCCGGGGAAACAGCACTGAGACTTGGATTTCGAGTTGTCCGGCTATTCCACACAATGCCTAGCGGAGGCAGGGTTATTTGAAGTGGATTCTCTCTTTTTTAGTGGATGTCGAACCTGCTGCCTCATTGACTAAGAAGAGGGCGGGCGTAGCAGCTACATGGACCCCTTCCTTTCTGTTATTGCCAACGTTTTCCCAGGCCAAGTCGGAATTCTTTATGAGAAAGGGAGGGCAAAGCCCGAAGACTGCTATCCTACCTAATAGGCCAACGGGTAGAACAAGAAGAGGACCTGACAATCATACCACCACTTTCAAAAAAGCGTGTTCCCTTCAGATAAGACGCACCATAGGCCATCCTCAGCCTTCTTCATTTTTTATGAAAAAGAAATCCAATATCAATCTCCGAAAGCGTATTCCTTCCTCTCCCTTCGATATTTTTCAACAATATTGTCGTGAGGAATGCTCCAATTCGATGATTACTAATCCCCCAACAGGCTTTAGATAGAATTTATGTAGAATGAAATGTATGGTTACAAACTAAGTTACTTTGTGCTAATTCAACAAAAATTCATGGCATTGGCTTAGTCTAATCAAAGCCTACAGTCATGTTCTAACTGAGCATATAATCCTCTAAACAAGATCCAAAGAGTAAATTTTATTTTGATAAAACCAACACTAACCTTGCATTATCTCCTTGGGAATGGTGCTTATTCCATTGTTATTGCTTCTTCTTCTTCTTCTTCTTCACATGTTCTTGGTCTTTATGGACAGTTTTCAGCTACTTTTTAGTCTATGCCTTGTGAGAAATAGATACCTTCTGGCTGCAAGTATTAGAACCCACGTAGTTGAAGTGATCTTCTCTTTGATCATCAAAAGCAGAGCTGAACTAAGTACAGTTTTCAAGATCTGTGCTTGCAATCCCTTGAAAAATCCGGGTATTCCTTCTCTTCTCCATATTGAATGGACGACGCCCGGAACTGTTCGTCGGACCTTTGGACGGTTGTCTTTGGTTTCATCGTCGTGTGCTGCTTGGATCATCACCTTACACCTGCGAATCGAGAAAATCTTAATTGTTTGAACGTGCCAGACGGGTAAGGAGAGGAGGAGGATTTCGGTGACGAAAGAAAAATTATGCACCTGATTGCAGGATATGTCAAAATGGTGGCAATACTTTTCGAAATTGCACCGAGTACAAAAGCTGTAAAGGCAGAAAGGACTACTGGAGATGAACCTTGTTCTGTTTTGTTTTGGTTTCCTTTGAGGAGGTTCTGCTTCAGCTGATCAAATACTGTATACTGCATTGAATCGAAGTTTATTTCTTAAATTGAGAGAATGTTGCACAACTTGAATGCTTTCGGTCACGTCGAGTTCGAAGTTCGAAGAAACGGATGACTGAAAATAAGCATAGAGAGGGTAAGTACCTGAATGGCAGGGTTTGAAGTCAGCAGCAAGGAAACTCCAAGGCCATCGAATGCATCACTCCAACTGCCCTCGGTCAGTGTCGTGAAAAGCCCTTTCGATTTTCCGAAGGCACTTGTCTGCATTCTAGAGGAGGCGGTATCCAGGGGCTATACAGTGGCAAACCAAGAGATAAATTCAGTAGAAACATTAAAATTCAGTATTTCAACAGGAGTTCTCAAAGAGGCTTGGAACTATCTATAACGATGACGTTCATCGAACTTTGCAGCTCGATGTTGTACACGATAATGCATTAAAAGAAAACTTCTCTTGCAACAAGCAGGACAGACTCAAACAAGATGTGGATGGACAAAAGGCAAAGTATTCTTTGCTTTCTTTCACTCTTTTCTTCATCCATCATTCCAAAAAAAAGTAGCACACTGAATTGAGAAATTAAGCTAAATCCTGGTAAAGAAGGACTTGCCCCTATCTATTGAGATCCCACATCAGTTGGAAAGGGGAACGAATCATTCCTTGTAAGGGTGTGAAAATCTCTCCCTAGTAGACGCATTTTAAAAACCTTGAGGGGAGGCCCGAAAGGAAAACCCCAAAGAGGACAATATCTGCTAGCGATGGGCTTGGGCTATTGTGAATGGTATCAGAGCCAGATATCGGTCGGTGTGCTAGCGAAAACGCTAGCCCCAAGGGGGTGGATTGTGAGATCTCACATCAGTTGGAATGGGGAGCGAAACATTCCTTATAAGAGTGTGGAAACCTCTCTCTAGTAAACGCATTTTAAAAACCTTGAGGGAAAGCCCAAAGATGACAATATCTGCCAGCGGTGAGCTTGGGCTGTTACAGTCTATATCATAGACTAATGACCAGACTACCGAGTATCAGTAGTATATTGATTAATCGTCTCTTATTTCATAGCATCATGGAGAATAAAGTTAGAATCATCATAATTCATACCAAACTTTCAAGGTCGCCAAAAGCATGTGATGTGTTAATTTCAACACAATAAGAGATAGAGATCAATTATTATCTTCCTCTTTTATGTGATTGTATCTAATTTTTAGAAATTTAAACATCAAAATAACATGTTTCACAGATCCCAAACAAGAATCTACTATTTTCCTCTAAGAACTCAAATTCAGGGCATGCAATGATGGAAAAATAATGTGTTTTCACCATATGGTTGACAACAGAGACATCCCAACCTGAGTTAAAATGGCATTGCAAGCTCCAGCAGCAGCAGCAAGTAAAAGGTTTGCTTTGGTTCCAATTGATTTAGCCCCAGTTTTTGCCAGATATAGTTTCTTGAAGTAGCTATATCCATAGAAGTACAGGAACTGAGAAACAAAAGATTGTAGATTTTTGGTTCCCAGTCCCTGGTACAGCGAAAGAACTTGATTCGATTTTATCGCTTCCCATAACACATCTGAAAGATACCTACACAATCCAAAATCGACTGAATCAATACCGATACAAAAACAAGAACTACGATACAAAATTTTTGTGGCATCGAATTAGATTTTGAACCACGAGGTAGTTCCATTCATTGGGCTGTGTTGTGTCAAAAGTGTTCATCAGAGGTACCAAGCAACAAAGTCCTGTCTATTACTTTGTTCTTCCACAATCATCATTTCATTAATAATCTAAACGCCGTGAAACCAAACAAGCCATTTGCATCCATACTTCAATAAAATCATGCCATCCAACTCACAAGAATGCTTTCAAATTACTAACAAGCGATTTTCCAGATTCCAATGATCTTGAAATTATGCCAAACTTCCCACAGCTGACCAGCCAACCACTTCAGAAGCTCTAAAATTCTATAGATCATTCGATAAGAAAACCCCTCAATTACGAGATAGATTTCCAACGATCATAAGATCGAGCTCCAAGAATATGTCGATTACATTCATCAGAAACTAACTTAATTTACTATACAAATTCCTAAAAAAACACAGTAACGATGGCGGAAATGATACTCCAGATCACGATTCGAAAGCAAAACAAGAAAGTCACCCAAAACAATCAATGCAACCGTCAAGAAAACAGGGGAAACACACAAACACAGATCAAGAAAAACAAAAACCAGGGCAAGAACAAAAGTGAGCAACCTGTATCTCCGTTGTCCATGGCTTCGAACCTCGGCTTGGTATTTGGACTTGCAGGTATCAAGCGGGTACAAGATGGTGGTGCTGACAAGCGAACCAATCGCACCAGAAGTGGCCTCCGAGAGAGATTCGAGATCAAAACTCATGGCTCTCTCTCTGCTCTGATGAATCAAATTTCGAGCAAATTCAAACGGTATTCTCTTGTTTGGGTAGGTACGAATTTATACGGAGACAAACAAATGAAGAAGACGATGAATTGCCGAGTAAGAGAATTGAGCGCGTGATCCCGGTTACGTCTTTTTGAAGAACTAGCGCCACCGTTCGGCATATCGGCCGTCGGATTAGGTTTGCGGCGATTGGATCAACGGATGAGATCGCTCCATTTCCTAGCCCCAATTTGGTCATTTTCTTTCGTCTGGAAAACAAACACATCTACCTTTTTTGGACACTAGTGAGTAATGTTTGTATGGCGTGCTGCACGTGCGCACGTGCGCAATATATTTTTTCTTTTTTCTTTTTTCTTTTTTCTTTTTTTGAAAAAATAATTTTTAATCAAAGTTTATCATTATTATTCCAAATTTTTTTATTTTAATAAGTTAAATATTCAAATTCAAAATTTTAATACTTTTATATTTCACATTTTTTAAAATTTATTTTAAATAATAATGTTCTTTTCTTAATGTTAAAAATTATATTTTATTTGAGTAAATTCCTACATTAAAAATATTTTATATATATATATGTGTGTGTAATATATATATGTATATTTGTATATGTGTGTATATATATCTATATTTTATATATATATATATATGTGTGTAATATATATATGTATATTTGTATATGTGTGTATATATATCTATATTTTTGTGTGTATATATATATGTGTGTGTGTGTATATATATGTATATTTGTATATGTGTGTATATATATCTATATTTTTGTGTATATATATATATACACACATGTATATATGTTAAGAATATTTTCCCCAACATTGTTTACAAAGGTGCGAAAACGTCTCCTGTAACAACCTAAGTCCATTGTTTGCTTTGACCTATTACGTATCGTCGTTAGTTTCACGGTTTTTAAACACCTCTTGTAGATAGAGGTTTTCACACCCTTATAAGGAAGGTTTCGTTCACTTGTTGAGATGTGAGATCTCACAATAACAAATCAAAGTGGTGTAGCGGAAGCGTGGTGGACTCATAACCCACAAGTCTAAGGTCGATCAAAACCTATCTCTGATAACATTTGTAATAGCTTAAACCTACTCGTCCAAGGATAGGATCCATTTGTATTAGCCCGAATATTCGAGAAAGATATGAAACATGTGTTTTAATGACACGTGATCTCTTGAGATTGAGAGTACGTGTGTAGTAGTCAGTCTTTTTTAAACAATAGTGATACATTTGAACGTTTTTTTTTAACCTGAACATTCAAAAAGGTTTAAAAAATACGTGTATAGTAACCAAACTCAGAGAATGAACTACAGTTCGAGTCAAGCCTCGAAGACATAGTAAAAAATGACTAAAACTTCAAAAGAAAAGGAGTCGAGCTTTGATTAAGGGGAGATGTACTTTGTTCGAGGAGAGATGTTAGATGAAAGTCCCACATCGACTAATTTAGGGAACGATCATGAGTTTATAATCAAAGAATACTATCTCAATTGGTACGAGACCTTTTGGGTTCCCAGATCGATGAAAGCTGGATATTTTGAATACATCCAAGGAAAATGGGCCGACAGAGGCCCAATTTAGATCGGAAAACATCGAAACTCTGTGCACTTTGGGGTAAGGTTAGAGTGAGAGTACAATAATTCTTTTTTTTTTTTTTTTTTTTTTTTTTTTTTTTTTTTTTTTTTTTTTTTTTTTTTTTTTTTTTTTTTTTTT